GCCATGGACTGGCAGCACAAGGCACCAGGTCAGTGATGTGGCAGCTCCCTCAGCTTGTCAGAGCCCTCCAATAGACAAGCAAGTGGAGAGGAGCCATGAGACTCAGGTGTTACCCCAGGCCTGTCAGCTCTCCCTCCCATCCTGACATTACCTTGTCTCCTCTCACTCTCACAAACCCCTGCAGCTTCCAAACCTTGCACCATGGGATATAATGGTCTGTCTGTCCTCCAAATAATTCATGCACATGCACATGGCCGGGGATACAAAGACGATCATTTTCTAAGGTGGGACTAGATCAAGAACAATTTGGTCTTTTTGAATATGCACCAGAAAAGATGATTTGAGGGAGATATTGTCAACTGTGAAAAAGCAAGAAGTCAGCAGCAGCTGACCTCTCACTTTCCCCTGTGCATCATTTCAGGTAACAGCCAATGGGATATTTATCAGGAGAAGGCAAAGGGTGAGGCTGTATCTGGGGAGTATGGTGTCTGGTTGGGTGTACAGTCCTGCTAAAGGAGGAATACCATGATCCCACACACCAGGCACATGTGCTCAACCAAAACCAGCCAAAACCTCACACGAAGGGCTGTACCATCCAAAGAGTGCCCTGCAAATGCACAAGGTACAACCATGTTGCAGGACAGCGAGAACAGAGGCCCAGGCAGGCAAATCCCACTTTCAGGCTGTAAATCTTGCCATTTACGCACCAAATATCACAAGATAAAATGTGACTGTAGGTAGCTTTTATTGCTCAGTCACCAGGCTGGCTCTTCCATACCAACATTGCTTTCACATTGCCCACACTACAGGATGCTGTGCAGCTCCACAGAGATGCCAGCAGCAATGTAGTCAGGATTTAACAGCCACATCACACTGACTTGGATACATGGCTCATAGTTTTTTCCTGACTACTGGCACTGATGGAGAACATCCTAGGTGCAAATTTTAGTGGGACATGAGAAATGAGACTCCTGCAGATGCCCTAACTCAGAGCACATCTCTCAGTGAATCAAGGAACAGTAAAGATTTGAAGCCTTGAATCAGAAGTGAGAGGTTCCATTTCTGAAAGTGTTATTGGGCAGGCTTTTCCACACATGCTTTTCAAATTGCAGCCCTACCTCTGCACCTCCTCAAGGACTTGGCATAAACTTTCAAGAAACTAGCTGATTGTACAAAAGTCCTGTTTTTCCCTACAAGATGACCCTGCAGTAGAGGACTCTAAAATCCCATATTCCTCCCGCCTCATGTTTCCTGACCCCTAGCACTCAGTTCGACTGGGAAATTAGGCTTTTCCAGCAAAAAATCCCTCACTATTTTTAATGCTGTTGAAGAGTTACTGGGAAAAGAAAGAAGTTGCTTGGTGGTGAAGTGAGTTTATCATCTGCTCTACGGAATTTCTACTGCTGTCACGGTCTGGTGAAATAAAAGGAGCCCAATTCCATTTGGAAACTGTTTTCAAGGTCTGAGGCTGGTAGTAAAATCACAAAATAAAAATTATATTTTTACCTGAAAACTCAACAATCATGATCTGGAGTAGTTAATCTGAAGTGAATTTACTGCTTTGTAAGATGTGGTCACTCATTGTGGTTGAATATCCATGTGGTGCTTGCTCCATGTTGTGTTGCAGCTGTGCAAGCTTCTGTGTGAGTGAGCTCTGCAGAGCCCTGGCAGGACAGGGAGTATGGTCCATGTTAGGGTAGTCTCAACCCGGGACATTTGAGAGTAGGAAGATGCTCGGAGAGAGAATAGGTTGAAGAAGCTGTTTTTTAAATTAGGTTAGTGCACAGAGGGATGTGATAGCTTCTGTCTTCAGTACTCCTACTTGTTTCACTGGAGCACTGAACTCTCATAGCAACTACCACAGCAATTGGAGCAATAGTAGCTACTCCTATACAACAAGTGCAAGTGGGATTCATCTGCCTTCCTCTGATGGCTAAAAGACCTAGCCCCACACAGCTCCGCTCTTGCTACAGGTGGGAAAGTGCTACCTAGCACCCATACAGTGAACACTCATTTAGAGGTGTTGATGTCTCCCAGGTGTCTCACATGGAATTGAAGGTATTACCTCAGAATAAAATGTCTAACTTCTAGCTATCTAATATTAGATTGAGATCAGCCTCATCATGTGTCTCACCATGGACACTTTCTATGGCCTGAAGACTTTGGATTCATTCCTAGGTCGTCATGACAGACTGGCAGTGAAGTCTTTTACCATGGTTTGAAGAACACACTATGTAGTGATTTTATAGACTTAAATGCCAGGCAGTGATGCATTGCCTAATGGAGTGTCATATAAGAATCATAAATCACAATCTTGAAGGAGCTTGTGGATGTCAGACATGTGAATATGCTGATTTGGTATCCATGGTAGTTTGGCATGTCTCACATCTTTGTCTTCCACCCAAAATAGATTAGCTCTTAAATATTACTCAGCACTTGGAGTTCTGCCACAGCACAGAAGACAGTTGAGAAAACACCAAAAAAGTGTCTCCCAGTGCAAAGAAATATTGAGATAAACTTCATGGGCTTTGTTCAGTCTAAAAGCAGAACCCTCTTCCATGGTGGTGTAACAACAAGGCAGGGTGAGGTTATTTGGTTAATAGTAGTGGAGGTGGAGATTTTAACACATGCACTGGAAGTAAAATAGGACAAAATCTGAGCATGAAGCTGTTCAGTTGAAGCATAGGACTGTAAGCCTTGCTGGAGCACTCCTCTCTCCTGTCTACATGTACAGCTGGGTTGCCGGTTCAAACTGAACACAGTAAATCTCTCATGTAATATTTCCAAGAATAATCAAATGATACAGGGCACAACCCTAATGACAGAGCCCCTAAGTCGTTTGTTACATCCAAAGTCCCTGCTTTCACAGCACAAATAGGCAATCAAATCATCTCACAGACAAAGACAAATCTACACATTTGCACAAGCAAACAAGGCAGTTTGCCTGCAGAATGTGTGGAGACGTTAATCACTTGCACCAAGTCATGAGTGAGCATGTGAATTTACTATTAAGAAGTTAGAAGTTATCATTATCGTACTGTTCAAATAAAATGTGAATTTACAGGTAGATGAAAAGTAAATTCAAACGCCAATCCATTCTTTTATGTCCATAAACAGCCAATATACAGTCTAATTTTCTCACATAATAAAAAAATTTTATTTATTTTGGAAAGATCCACCCGATCTGATGGCTGTTGGAAGAGGAGGTACATAATCAGTCTGGACTCCCCTTGCTCATTCTCCCAACTTCTTAGGGATAGGAAATGTGCTCTGAGGGGCTTCCAGCAAAGCCAGTGGAAAAGGTGTGAAAACCACTGGTGGGCCTGTAGAAGAACAGAGCCCCCAGGACTTTTCAGTTACAGAAGGAAAGCAGGTTTTACTCTTATCTGGGAAGGAACTGGGAAAAGTGTATTGTACAGAAAACTGCTTGAAGAGAATTCAAATGTCTGAGACAAAGAAGCAGGTTTTACAGACCTGTCCCGGGTTATCCATGTTCTTGATCAAGGCTATCTGGACACACCACTCTGTAAACCGCAACTCTACTGGGGTACACTTGCTATCTTACCCTAAATACACTGTCAGGCCTGATGTGGTGTGACAAGACTGTAAAACTCCTTTTGGATGGGGAGGAGAAAGGGAGACCTTGTGTGAAATGCCATCCATGAGTCCTTCCTTGAACCATTTCAGTTCCCAGCCCACCTGAAGGTTCATGGTGGTTTCCTTTGCCTTCCTTCCACCGGTGCAGTGCCAGGCTGGAATTGCAGGGTATTGTATTACAAGTCCCACGGGTGCTGCCTCAGCCTCAGTAAACTTTATTTAAGCACACACAGACATACACAGACAATATACATATATTTGTTTCTTCTCTGACAGTTCTACAGGACCAACACTGCTTTGGATGACACTTGTGGAGAATTTGAAAAAGTGCAGGAAATGTACGAAAAAATAAAGGTCTTTTAATAATTTGAGTCATGGTCATCCACAGAAACAACACAGGTGCATTCAACCATGCGAGCACATGGACACATCTCCACATACAGTACATTGTGTCTATATAGGTATCTCCACATACATTGTGTCTATATAAATGTACAACAGTCTCAGAAGTCAGCAGGACACAAAACCAGACGAGTACTGGCATGGCACATGCTTGCACTCCCAGTGTCGCAACCCACTGCCAGTGCACCAGTGTGACTCGGTCAGGGTGGGGGTGTGAACAGAAAGATGCTCCAAACATAGTCTCACTGTACACTATAAAAACTCACCAAATATGCAACAACGTCATAAAATGAACATTCATCTGGGGTTCTGGTGACTAGCTACTTTGAGTTAGATCTCACAGCTTTTGTGTCACCACAACTCCTGGGATGTATGGTTACTTATCTAATATAGCTACAACTGTCTCTCAGCATATATTTTATATACAGTACATACACACAGAACATACACAGAGCAGTATATGTATATTTTTGTGTTTTCATGTTTGTACATTATATCACAGATTATATGAACACATAAAATATATGTTTTAGGACCTAAAAATAAATAATTTTATAAAATATTCATAATACTCCCCCCCAAAAAAAGCCCATAAGTCAAACAAAAGAAATCCAGAAAAGCACTCTTGAAGTGTTAACTGCCTGCCCTTGGACAGCATTACACTCCTTCCCCTTCCCTTTATAAGTACAGCAGCACGATGGTGGTTTGCAACCATGCACCCAGGAAAACACAAAGCAGTATAAATTGTTGAACTGCAAAGTCAGAGTGGAGTCTGGAGTCTGGCTGTCCAACTCGACACTCTCCCACCGTCTCCCTTGCTAGGATTTAAAAGGTTCTGCCAGGAGCACAGTATTTTACCTGCAGCAATATCCGCTAGACTAAATCTACTGACTGCAGTCCAATACTGTTATCTCATAGCACTTAGAACCCAGCTTCTGAGTTATAGCTTTTTTTTATTTAAAACAATCTTTTTATTTAGCAAAAAATTGTTTCCACTGTACCCTTCGTGTGTCCTCTTCCTAATGTGACAAACCCGGAGGAGATGAAATTATGGAGATCTGGCCCTCCACTTCGATAAATATCCTTTCCATAGTGACCTGCCAAGGAAAAGAAAACAAAGAACCCTTTATTCGGTGCCTGTGTACACACACACACACATACATATATACACACACATATATGCTATATGGTCCCTCTGTAACCCTCATAGATGAGTACCAAGACCCCACCACATGGTTACATTATTAATGGATAAAGAGGGTATAACAGAACGTAACAGCTATAGCAGCATCAAAGTCTTATTGCTTTATTGGCAAAGATCTATGGAGAACAATTGCATATTTTGATAACTGCCAAGGAATGAACAGATTCTGGTAGGGAAACCACTAAAGTGCCAAACCAAACACCCCAATCTCCGGGAAATTTGATCATCAGTGGCTCAGATTCAGGTTTGCTAGGAAAAGCACTCCCAAGGAACTGGTCTCACTCAGACCTTCAAGACTAAGGAGCTAAATGAAATCAGAAGAGATGTGGGGTTGATTCTTCCCTATTCCAGCCAGACCTCTGAGAACGTTCATGTTGGTAGAGATTTTGTCTCAGCACAAAAGCAGAGGTGCAAATATCATTCTTGTCCAGGCTGGACCCAAGCCCCCATTACCAGTATGATAGCAAATTGCCTTTTAGCTTTGATTTTCTCTGTCCTTGAATGGCATCCCTGGATGCTTTCTCAAGTGCAATAGTCTTCTGCAGAACACTTCCTAGGAGCTTTCTCAGTCCATGACAACAGAGTAAGTTCAAGAGACACCCAGCTTTTTAACATTTTAATATTTCAATATATTAATACAGAAAACAGCCTTCTGCCTCCCTGTTACCATGCAAAGCTCGGAAATGAGGACATAGATAATTTCTCAGATACTCTTTATTATCTCCTCCCTTTTTCATGTTGTTAATTTTTCCATTCCTTTTATTTTAGACAGAGGCAAAGATAAGATAGGTGTGGGGAGGAGGGAAGTAAGGCAGCCTCAGGGGCTGGGAATGCAGCTCTCTCCCTGTTAAGTCTCCATCTTCTCCATGCCTTTCTGCACAAGCCCGTGATGCATCACTCTTCTTCTGACCCATGGTGGCTGGAAGTCCAGCACGGCAGATGGTCCAGCGCACGGCACTCAAGCAGGAGAGCTGAGTCAGGAAGCTATGGGGAGGGCCAAATGGGCATCAGGGGTCCAGGTGGAAATGCAGCCTGGGGCCATGTTCTGGCTGGCTCACATTGCCTCTGACAGATGCTACAGCCCTTTACTATTTTTCAAACACTGAGACCAAATGCCATTTGTTCTCATACACTTTCAGGCTCTCTGGCAACACTGTGACAACTAATGGGAACATAGACTGAAATCTCTTCAGTCTGCAGCGTTTTCCTCTTTCCTTTTTATCCAGTCATTCTCACCCCAGTATCCCTGCAGCTACTACTCCTGTCATCAAAGTCCACCTTGCATGTTAGTGGGTTGCGGGTAAGCACTGCCCCCCAAGGTCTAAATTATCACAGAATGTCTCATTGTTCTGCCCTGTAATGGATCTCAGCAGGCTCAAAACCCCAGTCCCTATTCAGGGAGGACACCAGCAAGTCTCTGGCCAGGAGAGCCTAGCATAGACTTTGCCATCACACAGGCATGCTGAAGATCCTCAGAAGAGGCTCACATATGGCGAGCATAAGATGTTGAAACTTCTGACAAATGTTTATTCCCATCTAATAGAAAAAGCATCTCACTCCCTTCCCTCACATATTTTTTCTGGTCAAGGTCAGTCAAGTGCTCTCTGTAAACTTCTGAAAACACACATAAAGTGTTTCTACAAGTTTGGGAGTTGTTAGCAGCAAGGCAGTTTTCTTCTTACAGTAATGCACAGTGGTAGCAAAAACATTCAAACGTGGAGGCATCCACCCATAAATTGGCTGAGAAGAGAGTTTCCAGAAAGAAGAATGATTTTCTGCTTCCACAGGAAAGATCATGGGCTCTTTCTCTCTTCTTCACACCTAGGTGTTGCAACTCTGGCTGCTGTGTTCCTGGAAAAGGGTGGCAGACTTTGCCTCTGAGTCCCTGGAAGCTATTCTTGCTTCATGAGATGTTTGTTCTTGTTCTGAGAAGCCTGCAGGGATGGCCTGTGGCTTCAATGCCCAATTTGCTTTCTTCTTCTCTATCACTTTTCTAAAATGTGCTGCATTTTTTCTTTTCAGTAAGCCAATTTTTGCTCTTATACCATCAATTTCTGTGCTCTCAGGGCCAGCTACTCTAGTGACTGGCACTCTATCAGTGCCATAAATTTACCATTTTAAACAATGATAAGGGAAAAACATAAATAAGTGGTATTACCTCCAGCTGAAATCAGCTGTCTTTTATATGTCCCTTTGGAGAATCTGTTTAAGACAGAGATCAAGAAGGGGAAGTATATAAAAAAAACCCCAAACAAACATTTACTGGCAGATTGAAGATCGTTCATCATTCATTTACTCTCTGAACCTTGCTCTGCCCCTTCTTAGAGTACGTAGTAGTTAAATTAAAACATTCTTGTGATAACAAGCCATTAGCTTTTGAACAGGAGATACATTTTCCCATGAGAAACTTGAATTTGTAGACTTCAAGCAGCATGAACTTTCCCTTTTTATGGACACATTATAGGATGCTATGCTTGTTTTATATGGTTTTTTATTCCTGCTCACTTGTGATCATTTCTCTTGGCTTTGCAGTGTAAAAATGCTGGTACATGGCTTTTAGCTTTAGAAGCGCCCTGGGGGCTGCTGGTGGGCCAAGCTCAGGTGCTGTTATTCACACAGACTTTTCCATAATCACTTCTTGACTGAGATGTTTCACACTGGAAGTGAATGCTTCCTTGTGCCTTACCAAGATGCATGTGCCCAGCAGCTGCACCAGAGCTAAAGAAGCTCAAGCATAAGTAGACAAGGCTGCAGAGTAGTGGAAGCGCAGACAGGGCTATGCCAGACCAGAAAACATCCCTATTTCATCCTCCTTTGTGGGTGTTTTCCTCCTTCCTACCTTCAGCTGTGAGCTCTCACCTAGCTGCTGGGAGTCCTTCCACAGTTGGTGAGAGGGACTGGCCCTGCCAAAAGGGGGTTCAGCCATGAGCTGAGCTTAACTGAGCTAAGCTGGTGATGGAGATGCCTGTCTCATGGGCTAAGAAGGAGCACTTGCACCTTATCCAAGGTGTTCACTTTTAGTAGGCTGAAGCTGGGTGTTTCTCTCTGCCCTACAGTGACAGAGCTAAAAATGCCCTAATTCCTCAAAAAACAAGTGTAAACAGACCGATTTTCATTTCAGTTCAGATTTCTAGGGTTTTTTATTGCCAGTAAACACCCAACCAAACAAATCCTGCCATTCCAGAGAGAAAGAGCCTCTCTGTGAAGCCTCACAAGGTTCCCCCGAGCAATTCCTGATGCCAGGGGCTGCACCAGCCCCCGCTGTTGCAGAACCCCAGGCACACAATGAAATGGAGATGTTTGAGCTTAACCTCCTGTATAAATGAGGTGAGGACAGTTTGATGGCTGTGCTGTACCTGCTGTCTACAGGCATTACTCACATTGCTCTCTCTCCTCGCCCATGTGAGATCACATCAGAACAAAACTGCCTATTGGTGTTGTATTTCCCTGGGAGCATACACAAGACATTCCGTGGGCTGAAGCCATCAGCGAGTTGAAACCCAGAACCCAGAGGCAGCACCCAAGACCTGAGAGAAGTCAGATCGAACAAGTGCAGCCGATCAGTGTCTTCAGCAAGGCGAGGCAGTAGAGCCCAGCATACTCATGGCTCCCAGCACGCACTACCCATCTTTTACAGCTCCCACTTTGGGTGGAATTAGCTTCTGTCTGCTAGTTTTCCATATCCAGGTGTCCTACACAGCTAGCATGTATTAACTCTGGGGCTTGCTGGTAGCTGCACAAGGTCACAACCGGTGTCCTCATTCAGGCACCGAGCAGGACAGCAGAGAGGCTGTGTCCCCTCCACGCGCCTCTGCGTCCCTGTTTGTAAAGGGAGTTACTCTGCCTGCAAAGCACGGGGAGGTCTGTGAATGAAAAGCACTGTATAGAAGCCAGATTTGATTACAACGGAGTCTCACAACACTCACTACTTCCAAAGCAAAGCAACCACCCACCTACCTGATCTCATGGCATGGAACATGCTAGCTTTTAATACAATATTTCTCTAGAGACTTTGCATCTCTAAGGCCTATTTCTCACAGTTAGGATAAAATTTAAAATGCTGTTTCAGAGCACAGTTCTGAAGCCCTGGAGGAGGCTTTTCCTCCTCTCTCACTCCCTGTTCTTGCTCACACTCATATCCATGTGCTGTAATTCAGGTAAACCCTCAGACGCAGACAGGCTTGCAGGCTTTTTCCTTAAAAGAAACGAACAGGACTCCATCAAGGCTGTCTGTTACTAAAACAAATGAAGACTAACACTAAGACAACTTAAAATTTCCAAGAGAAATTGAAACAAGGTTAAACATAACTTTTTTTCCCCCTCTCCTTTAGTTATAAGGCACAGCAGAGGCAGAGAGGAGATGAGTGTTTTGCCTGCCACACAATAAATGCACATACTTTAGGGTATACAGCTCAAAGAGGGAACATTTCATTACAGTGGCATCCTGCATAACACATATATGGAACAAACTCAGTCACAAACAGCAATTACAACCGCAGCTCAGATTTTACAGAATTATTAGAGCTGAACTAAAATGCTGTTATCCACCTCCCAGAAACGTTATTACCGAGTACGGATTACATCATCCTGAGAAGGGCAGACAGGGACTGTCATGGACAGGTTTTTGCATTGTACACTCTTGGATTTTGATCTCATCCTTGTCACAGATTTCCTTGGGAGAAAACCTACACCCAGAGGGGAGTCCCCACATCCAAACTTGGCACAAACATTATTCTCAGACAGATCTCTGTGGAAAAAAAATTATATTGGGGGGGGGGGGGGGCGGAATCCCCCAGCCTACCTACTCTGATGCTGCTCATTTCTGCTGGAGTGATTCTTTTGGAGCAATTTTACACATATCAACAGACTGAGACAAAGGGCATGAGCTGCCAA